TTATATTTTTCATTAAAATATAAAATAAATAAAAAAAATAATTTTACAATATAATTATTATATACAGTTAAAATATTGACATAATAATACTAATTAAATTAATTTACTTAGACTATTAATAGATATTAAAAAAGATAAGATTGATGATAAAAGTTAGAGAAATTATCTGAGAATAATAAGTCAGCAGAATATTAATATAATTAAATGTATTTTATAAAAATAAAATCAAATATAAACATAAATTTTTCAATAAGTTTAGAAACTTGAAATATAAATAGAAATTATAATTAATTTAACAAAAAAAAAAAAAATTATTATTATAATAATAACTTATTAAATTTAGTAACTTTATATATTATATTTTAAAAAATTAGAATAATAATAATAGATATGATAATAAGAATCTAATAAATTTTTAAACTCTAAATAAAAATAAAAATTAGTTTTAAAATAAATAGAATTATATTATAATAATATATTTATAGACAAATAAATTGAAGTATTAAGTTTGATCATAATAGAAATTACAGATATAGGAAAATTTTATTTAATTAAAAAGATCAAAAAGAGATTTTAGATAAAAATAAAAATTAAAAATAATTTTCTATTAATTATACTAATATCTATAAGAATTATAAACTTTAATTTAATAATATAATAATATAATTAATATTTTTATATTAATAATTAACAATAAAAGCAGTAAAGAATTAGAAATAAATAATAAATATCTAAGAAATTACAAAATTACAAAATATATATTATATTATAATTAATAAAAAAAGTATAATTGACTAATAAATACTTATTCATATTAATATATAGTTATAATATGATTTTTTTAATGATAAGAATATACTATTTTATAAAAAATCTAATAATATAATATTATATAATACTTTAGCGATATATAAACTAAATAATATTCAAAGATAAGTAAATATTTTGAAGAATAATAGATATTTAAAGATATATAATTAGCAGAACTAAATAAAAATAATTTTTAAATGTAATACATATTTTGCAAATATAGAATAATATTAATAAAGTTAATATAGATATATTTAGATTGTTAAACTGTCTAATAGCTAAAATTCTTATTATATATATTAGTAGTTATAAAATAAGAAGAATTGATTTAATATAATAAAAGAATCAAAAAACATAACTGTTATTAATTAAAGTATATATATTATTTAATAATGAATATATAGAACCTTTATAATAGAAAGAAGGAAACTGTAAAAAAAATCAATTTTACTTTTATATGCTAAATACAAATTTTAGATTAAAAAATGTTCAAATTTAACATTAGCTTATTTATTTTTTTTTAATTATTTTCTTCTTTTCTATTGCAAAGGTTTAGATATAAGCTAAATTAGTTAATAGTTTAATAAGTACTATGCAAGATATTTTATTTAAAAAACAGAAACTACTTTCTTTTTCTATAGCAGTATTTATCAGTTTTAAAAAGTACAAAGATCCTATTATTTTTAACTTAGAAAGTATTAAAGTCATTTTTTATTATGTTTATTTAACAAATATGAGATAATAAAATGGAATATAATATTTACATTTGTAAGTTCTCTATTTATCTTATATAAATAGTCATAATCCATAAAAGTCGAAAAATTATATTAGTAAAAATCAAATTAGATAATATTGAAAATGGATTGTGAATTTAGTAAATTACAAATTAGAAAGTAAAGACTTATCAAAATTTTATTTTTGCATTCTGATCATATAAGAAAAAAAGAAATTCCACAATAATTTTGTTTACTTTTTTATGAAAATATATATATTGACTCACAATATGAACAGGTACACTCTAATTATATAAATCATAAATAAATTTAAATTTTATATTATTATAAACTCTTGATTTATTAAAAATATGTAAATTGTATTTAACTTATACTATTTTATTTTGATTATGCTTTTCTTAATCTATACAGTAGATAAATTAAAATAAAAGTCTTTTAAATAGCGAATTACAGGTTTATTCAAAATAAATAAAAATAAAAGTGAATTGACAAAAATTGTTTGTACTAATGCTAACTATATTTAAGTTTACTTCAGTTTAATAATAACCTTTACCTTCTGAATTACAAAAATACATGCATCATTTAAGGGATATGTATTTATTTTTTCCTCCTCAAATTTTTTAACTTTTTCATCAAATCATGATTTCGAATAATAAAGCAAAGGTAGATTACTTCAGCTTTCAATCATTTCTGACATAATAATATAATAATTCAAAAAAGTTAAAGATCTTCGCGACTGCTCTAACAGTTTAAGATAGTATGTGGTACTAGACCTGCTTATTCTGGGGGTCTTCTTTTTTATTGGTTATTAGCCAAGAACGCGTGTAGAATGACGCGAAACAAAAATTTTTCTAAAAGTTTCATTTTTTATTACATTTATTGATTTGAAACATTTCGTTTTGTTGCACAATAAGTTATGGCCAATCAAAACGCCTGCCTTTAATTATATAAAAGTCACATCTTTTCTTATTTTAATCAAGTGACTAAAAAATTAATTAAATGGAAATATTAAAATAAAATATATACCAATAAATTTTAAAACTTTATCGGTAAAATCTGAATCATGTTGTTTTGATTACACAACATCGCTAGATTGATTGAATCTTAGCTTTAAAAAAAATGGTTTGTACCGAAATTACATGAGTTTTAATTAGTCAATCACAAAATTTAATTCCAAAAATAGTTATTTCGAATAAATTTGGTTATTTTTACCTTACCTTTTTTGTAGTTTTATTGATTAAATTAATTGATAAGTTTATCGTAATACGAGATATCTGAAACAAGAAGTAATTTGAATTTTTAAACCAGTTTTTATTCGGAAATTTCAAGGAAAAGTCCGAACATAAACATCTCTAAAAAATTCAATGGGCTTTTTTTTTTTTCAATCATTTTACGCCCGATAAACCTAATTTTATTATTATTTTTTTTTTTATATATAAATACGTCTACGAAAAGTTTCACTTTTTGTTCAAGTTTTCATTTTTGAATATTTATAATAACGAAATTCTTATAAATAAAAAAATAAGCAAACTTTTTTAAAACGAGAAATTATTTCCTCTTTAACAATTTTTTTTATTAAAAATGGAAAAAAATCATTTTCAAAATTGGTCCATTAGTAATGATACTCTTGACTTACCAAGTTTACCCAACCCTTTTGCGACAGAATGTGACCAAAATTCGACGGACACCAATAGTATTGGTACTTCTTTTATGGTTAAAGGAGCACCACCAAAAGTATTTTTTCCACCAAAAATGTCTTTAACGAAGGAATTAGAATATAAAAAGAAACGGCCTTTATTAGAACATATATCAACGTCTGTCGCTTCCTCACATAAATTACCACTTATTCCGACTAATTCACATCCTCTTAATCATCAAACTACCACCTCACCAATTACTCCAACATGTTTTATTAAATTTCATGATAATCATGAATTATTTTCAGGTGGAATTGATAAACGACATTCCTCAACTTCATTAAAGGCTGATATAAAAAATATACAAAGTAATGGTGGTAGTAATAAAGAAAAGATAAAATTAGCTTTAACAAAAAGAAGAAGCATGCCTCAAATTAGTATTAATACTGATTTAAATAAACAAGGTCAACAATTAAAAAATGATTTATTAAAAGAAGACAGTGACGAAAGGAAAATGGTTATCGTGCATGAAATTAAACCATCTGATACCATAGCTGGCGTTGCTTTGTTTTATGGAATTGAGGTATTTAAATCTTTTTTTTTTTTAAAAAAAAAAAATAATTCCAATTTTTTTTTAATTTCCTTTTTTTTTTTTTTTTCTCTTTAATTTCAGATTTCAATTTTAAAGAAAGCCAATAAATTATGGACAAATGATTCAATTCATCAACGTAAATTTTTATATATTCCAATTGATCAATGTTCAATTATTGATGATGAAGCAAAAGTAATTGTTCAAGATGATCATATCTCAATTAAAACAAATGGATTATCGACTTCTGATAATACAACAAGACCCACATTTTCACCAACAACTCCTTCAACTCCATTTACAATTTATGAGAGAGAATTATTATTCTGTACATTGCCTGAACATGCGAATTATGTTTATAATATTCATAACCATCATCATTTTGGTGGATGTTCCACTTCTTCAATTGACTCTTCGTCTAGTTCAATTTCATCTACATCATCCGAAAACAGTAATAATGGCAATAAATTTACAAGAGCCGAAATTCAACAATTACCTGCCGACCAATTGACTTTCTTTCCAACAAAAAGAATTTCTCTATCTCCCACTTCTACCTCCGCTAATTCATCCGCTCTTAATACACCTCTAACAACACCAACGTTACCATCACCATTACCTGTATCACATATATATCATCATAAGCATAATATCTCATTTCCTTTACCAACCATGACGCAAGATTCTATTCAAAATCCTAAACTCGTTGATAAATTATTACATAGTATAGATTATGCAGGTGAAAAATATTGGAAAAGGAATTTTGGTTCCGTAAAGGTGGGTATGGGTAGAAGAAAAAGTGGTGGTATATTGAATGATAGGTATGATGTTAAAAAAGATAACATAACATCTCCTTTCACCATGTTTCCCCTACTTTGATTAGAAACTTCACATTATTATTATTAGTTTATTATGAAATACATGTTTTAAGTGTAATTAATTAACAGTACAAGTATGGTGGACTAAGTTTGCCCAAAAGAAAAATTTTTTCCTACTCTTTTTTTGTAAATAATTAACCTTTTCATTCCCTTATGTCTATTTTGAAGTACCATTTTTCTTCCGATAGAAATTATATTTATTATACGAAACAAAAAAAAAAAAAAAAAAAAAAAAAAAAAAAAAATTCTATAAACTTTTTAGATTATTGTAATAATTTGTTAAAATGGATATAATATAATGTATTTGTTAATAAAATCAAAATTATTTTTTGAATTAAATTTTTTCATGTCATTACTACCAAACCCATAATTTGTTTAAGTAATCTTTCAAGTTCTTTAACTTATCGCCACTATTGCTAACTTTAACGTTCGGTGTCACAGGATTAGGGCGGGGTTTTTCTACTACTACATTTTTCCTCGGCAAAGCATACTGTACAATTGCCTTTTTGTATCCCAAAGAATTATCAACAAGTTTAGAATCTCTTATGATAGGTGACAAAGTAGGAGATGGTTGTTCATTACATATGATTGTTACATCCGGTGTTGTTAAGATCGTTCTAAAAAAAAAAATGTTTGATATTATAAGTGAATTGAAAAAAAAAAAAATAAAATAAAATAAAATTTTTTTTTTGATATTTACGCGTTTGAATTTAGAAGTTGTTCTTGTGATGATTGTGAAGAACCACCTCCTTGTAAAAGAACACTTGTACCGCTAACGTCAGTCGAAAATATAGGTTGAAGATCTTGAACGGATTGTCCATCGATTTGGGACGACAAACCAGTTTGTTGAAACTCATTTTGATGTCCATTTTGATATGGATAATTGCCAGTAATCATGGCTATTTCCTGTTCTTGCTCTTTTTCTTTTGCAACTTGATTAACAATGTCTGTAAAGTTCAAATTAGGATCGGCCATCGTACGATGTAAAATTTCGTCTTGTGAAATTAAAACATTCCTAGACCTTTCACTAATTATTATTTTATTTTATTTTATTTTATTTTTTTTAAAAATAAATAAATAAATAAAATAAAATAAATAAATAAATAAATAATTCTTTAAAACACGGAATGAAAAAAAGATATTTCATTAATAGATAATATAATTCTACATACGGACGGAAATAAGGTCCATTTGCCATCCTTCTATTCATTCTTCCCATCGCCTAGATTCAATAGTGTGTCAAATATAATCGAAACCATGCAACCACAAAAATCGATATATATATATATATATATATATATATATATTTCTCTTACCTTTGCAGTATTTATAATTATGGGTTCATGAATTTTCTTTTCCGGTGGATCAATAACTTGCTGAAGGTTAGAAATATGTTTACAATCATTACAAGTGTGTACGTGTCCACAAGTAGTGCATCTATGAGTCGGTTCGTAACTGTTTTTGGTAATAGTTGAACCAGATGGAACTAAGTTTAAAGGTGAATTAATTGGACCCTGCGTGTTAAAACGATCCAATAACGGTGGTTGTATGAATCGAGAGGTTGAAATATTCAAACTTGAATTTTGTAAAGGGTTGGTAACCGGTGGAAAGTTATGACTAAGACTATTCGACTGATTCGCTTTATAATAAATCGAATTTTCTGAAGGACTCGAAATTTGTGCAAGATTATTTGTATTTGGCAAACGGTTTGGAACGAAAATTGAATTTCGCAAAGGACTTGGTGATAAGTACATCTTTTATTCAACTTGTCTTTCCAGACAAAAAAAAAAAAAAAAAAAAAACGATGAAAAAAACAAATTAAATTTTTTTTGGAAATTATTAAATAATGAGTAATACTAAATGCATGTAAACAAAAGATATTATTACTGATTTGGTTAATATCTTTGGTCACCCTTTTATTGATTACTATATTGAACATATATTGAAACTTATAAATAGCTGATTTTCGGGAAATTAATCTAAATGGAAAATATCTTTTTGAAATTTTTGAAAGTGAAAGAATGAATGAAAAAAAAAAAAAATCGATTAACATTAAAATAAACGTCAAAATAGAGTCCAAATTCTTTTTATTTAGAACTTATAGGATAGTAAAATATTCATACCATAAAAAAGAAAAAAAAAAATTAAATATTTACAAATACAAAAAGCGAATAATAATAATAATAATAAAACAAAATTTAAACCAAAGTAGTCTGATGTCACTTATAGGAGATAAATTAACATAATTAAATGTTAAATAGGTATTAAATTATTCAACCAATTCAATCTTTGGTCTTTTTCTGGGCCGATGATCATCTTGATTATTGTCGTTATCTTCTAAATAACGTGATCCATTATTATTTGCACTAACAATATGATTCATCATTTGCATATAATCATCACTATTCATAACTGTAAAACTTGAGCCAGAAGAATAAGAATTGTCTCCAGACATAACTAATGGTATTTGATTTGACATCCAATTGTCATTAAGGTTACTATCACTGGTAAATTCTGATGAAATCAAGTTATTGTTACTCGACATAATTGTTACTGGTCGGTCGGCGGCTCCCAGTGGCCTAGAAATATTCTGGAAATTTGGCATGATCTTTAAGTGCATACAGTATCTCTCTAACATTGAAAGTAGATGCGCTTTTGTAAATGGTTTGGCAAGAATGTCATTCATTCCATGAGAAAGATATTTAATACATTCTTGCGTAGTGGTGTTTGAAGTCATACTAATAATAGGCGTGTTAGGATCAAATCTTCTTATCTGAGTTGTTGCTTCAACACCTATATATATTAATTATAATTATTAATATCATAATCATTAATGAAATAAACAATATTAATTTAATCTTACCATCTAAATTTGGTAATACGATGTCCTGAAAACGAGAAATGTAAATAGTTAAATCTAGTTCGTTCGTAAATAATATTAAATTTGAAAAGATTAAACGAATAATACCATTAAAACAAGGTCATATTTTTCAAAATTCATTTTATTAACAGCGCTTATTCCATCAACGGCAATATCAATAGCGCAACCAAAAACTTGTAAAAACTTAGAACCGATACTTTGATAAACAGCATCGTCATCCACAAGAAGTACCTTTGGAGGAACAGACCATGCCGGTACAAAAGTACCACGGTGAACACGCATAGTATTTGAAGCCCTCTGTGGAGAAGTGTTATCAATATGTGGAATACTAGAATTACCATTATTTGAAGCAGAAACAGGTAATAAATTAGGAGTCGAAGTCGATTGTTGCCTAGGTGTTAAATGACCCACTGTAAACACAGTAAGTCCATTATCTGAATGCTGTAAACTCATTGTATTGGTGAGATTCTGTGAATATTCATCTGTTATGTTAATGATTTCTGTAGATTGAGATGCAGTAGAATTTGTGGATGTCGGTTGAGGAATAATAAAATCTTTCGGCAATGTTGATTCGGATGAGGTAGAAGTATTATTATTATTAGTATCATTATTATTATTAGAAAGGTTTGGTCGTAATGGCGATGGATTATTGTGTTCTAAAGGCTCATTTGATGTATTTGGACTAGAATCTGACGAAATTGCACTAGAATTATTCAGTTCGCTAGCACTAGCAATGTGATGTATTGATTGCGCACGACGAGAAATCTCATTCATTTGATAAAAAGAAGCACGGGCAACTTCTGTATATGAATTAATAAGTTTTTGAGCTTGCTCTGAAGGTATAAATGGAGTCGGAATACCCTCACCGGATGTACTTGACTGATTACTACTATAATTTCCGGATTTTTCTTGAGGAATTTATATAAAATGTTAATATATATATATAAATTTTTTTTTTTTTTTGCATCAAGTTCGAATATAAAAAACATACCTGCTTCCAAATTCACCAAGTATTGCACTAAATTCTGCATTAACTGATCTTGTGCAACCATATTTTTTTGGAAGTTTAACAAATCTTGGACAACCGAATGATAATTCTTGCTTAGGGAGTGCAAATGATCGTTCATGTTAGTTTGCAATTTGGTTAAATTATTAACCTGAGATTGAAGTTCAGTTAAGTGTGTCATATTTGGAACATCGTTGATATTATTAAGAGCTATTCTTCTTTGATTTGCTGGAGTTTTTCTCTGAGGAAAAAAAATAAAATAAAATAAAATTAATTATTATCTACAATTTTTGTCTAATGCAATTTCATAAATTTTAGTACCTTGATATTATCCAATTGATCTCTCTTGTCACATTGAAATTTTGGATGATGAAATTCCCAAGCCTAATAATCATAATAAAATTATACATACATAATTAAACTTACTAGAGCGAAAATTTTGAGAGATTTAATACCTGTTCTCCATATGGTGAATTCGAATCATCAGAATTCCTAATTTTATGAAAATCGTATTTATTAAGTTGCCGAACAAAACTAGCAAAGTTAGAATGCTTGAAATGTCGAGGCAAAATTGTTTTCGTAAAAGCGTTAATTTCCTATTTAATCAAAAGTTTATGCAAATGTCAACAATTTAAGGAGCATTAATTAAATATGAAATCAGAGACATAAAGTTGTTAGATAACCACCTTGACCACAAAACTATCACCGTTTACTCCCCATGACACAACGTGATTATAAGAGTCATCCTCCAACATCCTTTAAAATAAACAAAAAAATTTTGGATTTCTGACTGTCAAAAAGTTAAAACTACTTTGTTTTAATAAAAACTTACTTGAAAAGCTTTTTAACAAAGTCTGGACCTCCTCCGGGAGTATTGCTCATGGTTTTTGATTTTGTAACAGAAAATCGATTATGGACAATTAATGTTTCAACGAATATAAAAAGGTGCGGGTCGAGTCAAACTTAACAAATTTCAGACTTAAAATTTAACGTGTTTTTGTGGAGTAAATAATGGACGAATAAAAATGTAATGTAATATGCATAATATGCATTCTGCAACCATGTTTGTTATACATGGGAATAGCATATTACCATACAAATCTAGATTATTTTAAAAAAAAAATAAATTTTGAATGATATTAAATATATTGTAATTTGTGGACATTACAACCAATCCACTCTTGAATTGAGGGAAATGTTAGTCATCCCATTTGACTAAAATTATAATGATTAAAGAAACGACAATGAATATCGTTTATCGTTTGAATATCGTTTGAATATCGTTTGTTCAGGTTCTAAAAAAAAAAATGTGATCAGCAATTACGGAATACAAATTTATAATTAATGGTCTTTTCTAAAAATATACTAGTCTGTTTTATTTTGAAAACAGGATTAGCAGGATAATAACTAGCGATATAAATAAAACTTTTGATATACTTACAGACATGTTATAATTGTTTCGGAAAGAACAGTGAGATTTTGCCAAATTGCAGGCATCTTGAAAGTTTTCATGTTTGTCTAAAAGTTAAGATCAAAATAATAAAGTAAATCATTGCATATGACTAGGTCATTTGACCAATTTAAATAACTTCAAATGATATCAAATGATCATTCTAAAATCAAATGACCTGGATTATTTAGGTCATTTGAATATTAGATCGTTTGGATTCAATAAATAATAAATAATTTGTTTTTAAAAAATATTTGTTTTAAATTTAATAAATTTATTAAATATCTGCATTTTTTGATAAAGTTAATAAGAATAATATAATTTTCATAATTTTTTAATTATACTTACAAAAATATATATATTACTATTTCTCTAATTGTTTTATTTTAAATAAAGTAAAATTATCTGAATTTTTTAAAAAGTGTAATAAAGATAAAAGAAATAAAATCCTTTATACTATTTTCTAAGAAAATAAAAAAAGCTTTAATCAAAAAAATACAATTAATAACCCTATATTAAAAGCAAAGATAATAGTTTTAAAATTTCAAAATCTTAATCTATCATCTAATATTTTTCATTTGTTTGTTATCTTAATATTCAGTAATATATAGAACTACTTCTATATAAAAATAGTTAATATGAAGCTAATTTATATAAGATCTACTATAGAAATTAAAAATTATAATATTATTAGAAGTATTTTGAAAAAGAAATAAAGTGAAAAAATTGTTTCTTATATTTTTAAAATAAATAATACTTAGATACTAAAAGCTTATCTAAGAAAAGAAAAGATTACCTATGAAATTTATTAAAAAAAAAAAAAAAATACAGTAAATATTATTATATATATAGTGATGTTTACTTACATCATAGTGATACCTACTTACAGCTATATTAATATCTACTTACTTATTTTTACGCATCTATACCCTATTTATTGCTTTATTGCTATCTATTTATTTTTATTACTTTGCGACTATTTGGTTGCTTTATAAATATTTGCTTGATTTTATTGCTTTGTTTTTTTTTACTGCCTTGTAACTATTTGCTTAATTTTAATACTTTGTAGTCTTTTTATGACTAATTTATTATATCAGTATTTATTGTAAAATTCATGTTGTGATCAGGTGATGCAGTTAAATTATATAATTTTATTTTAGTTAATTTCAGCCTGAATTATTGTAATTTACTATACTAAAAAAATATATACAAGATACATTTTCATCATCTTCCTGTTACTTTTGAGGAACTGGCTAGAGGATCAGAAATATTAAAATCTGCCTTTATAATTACTAGGAATTAGTATCAAATTTGTAATTAATTTATTTTTTCTCTTAATTGCTATTTCTCAATTGCTAAATGAAATACGAAGTACTAAATTAATGACTTACACAATCTCACCTTTATATTTCCATTT